TGGGCCTGGTGGCGCACACTTTTAACCCCAGCACTCGGGAGGCAGAGGCAGGTGGATCTCCGCGAGTTCCAGGCCAGCCTGGTCTACAGCGTGAGATCCAGGGCAGCCAGGGCTGCACAGAGAAACCCTGTCTCCACCCCCACCCCCCCCGAAACAAAACAAAACGGAAAAACGGGTCAGGGGAGATGGCTCGGCAGTTCCGAGCACTGGCTGCTCTGGCTTCAATTCCCCACAGGACGAGAAGAAAACTAAAATTCAAGAACAACAAAACTCAGGCTGGCGCGGCGGCGGAGCAGGCGTGGCTCCTGCTGCGCAAGCCCGACCTGAGTCCCACCCGGAGGACCCGTGTCAGGGCAGAGGCAGAAGGCACAGTCCACAGAAGCATCCTCTGACCGCCGCGTCGATCCGCCACGCACATAGAGCACATAGAACTCAACCGACCCAAAGACATCTCCGTGCACACCCTGCACGCACGCACGCACACACGCACGCACTCCCTCGTCAGCACTGCGGAGGCGTCAGTGCAGCCCGGGGCTGCTCCGGGCTCCCCCTCCCCGACGGCCCGGCCGCTGCTGGTGCTCTGCCTCCCTCTAGTGGCCGTGTGCAAACGCTGCTGCGAACCCGGAGGTCCTGGACTTCCCTACCCCAGGGGCCCCGCATTAATTCTGCGCCCACTGGGTGCCCGGTGCAGGGTCACCGCCCCCCCCCAACACACCCCGAGGGTGGAGCGCAGTCACCGCTCCTCGCAGAGAGGGAAACTGAGTCTGGGAGGAAGCAGTCAGTTCTGGGTGGCAGGGTTGGCGCTTTGTCCTGGCCTTGGCCCGCGCTCACAGATCGGGGACAGGAAGTGGGAGGGCCGTATCCAGCTCAGCCTGAAGCCGAGCTTACTCTAACTTTTTGGTCACAAGAACCAGTAAATCCTGGTTCCGCCAAAGCCAGTTTTGAGCTGTCTTGGTTGTGCCGTCTTTTTCTTTCAAAAGACCTTTGGCTGTTGGTTCCCACAACCAACTTCAGTCCTCACGCGTCTGCTCCAGCCACTGATGGGCTCTGTGACCCTGAGGGAATTTCACAACCTCTCTGACCTCCTGAGCCCACTTGGGACATACTTCACACAGCCAGGGTTTCACCTAAGGCCGTGGTGCAATGTTATTTTAACTAGGCAAAGATGTTACATTTGTTTATGTCCTAGGATATTACCTTAACTGTGTAGAGGTGTGTTACATTTGTTTATGCTGAGTTCATTTAATGATGTAAGGATGTGTTACATTTGTTTATGCTGGCGTAGAGGTGGTGGCGATGCCTTTAATCCTAGCACTCGGGAGGCAGAGGCAGGAGGATCTCTGTGAGTTCAAGGCCAGCCTGGGCTACAGAGTGAGTTCCAGGACAGGAACCAAAACTACACGGAGAAACCCTGTCTTGAAACAACAACAATAACAAAAACAAACAAACAAACAAAAGAGACAGAGAGGAGAAGGAGGGAGAGAGTGTTGTGGAATATTAAGATGTGTTACATTTGTTTATGCTGTGGAACATCTGTTTAATGATGCAAAGATGTGCTGCATTCTTTCATGTTGCATCTGTTTGACTCTGTGAAGCTGTGTTACTGTGGCCATCTAAAGCACCTGATGGTCTAATAAAGAGCTGAACGGCCAATAGCGAGGCAGGAGAAAGGATAGGCGGGGCTGGCAGGCAGAGAATAAACACGAGGAGAAATCTGGGCTCCGGAGAAGAGGGAGAGTGAGAAAAGGAGGAGAGGAGGACACTAGGGGCCAGCCACCCAGCCACTCAGCCACCCAGCCACGCAGCCACTCAGCCACACAGCCACTCAGCCACCCAGCCACACAACCAGTCACAGAGTAAGAAGGGAAGAAAGATATATAGAATAAAGAGAGGTAAAAAGCCCAGAGGCAAAACATAGAAGAAGAAAAATGAGTTAATTTAATTTAAGTTAGAAAAGCTGGCTAGAAACAAGCCAAGCTAAGGCCCGGCATT